GTTTTCTAATGTATTCACCAGTATTTTTTATGTGAAAAACGAAAGTGTTTTGTATCTCAGTTTGTATAAGTTAAAAATTAACAAGGTTTTGATATCCACCAGTAATGTTTTTTGGTTTATTTCTACAGAATTAAAAGAAAACAAAGAAACAGTGAGTTAAAAAGCTTTCCTTCTCCAAAGCCAAATACAATAAAATTTTGAAGCTGAATAATTAATTAAAAGGATAACACCAAGTTTTGCATTTTAAGTAATCACAAAGAATAGGAAATGTAATCTAAGTAGAAACTAGCATTACTATATTAACATAGTCTAAAGAAAAAATATTTTTAATCCCTTATTCTTGATGGAATGTGTCTAGCAGAGATGAAAAAAAATTGTCATAAATTCAAAGTAAGAGTTATACTCTCACCGGTCTATATTAATTTTGATAAACCTCTCCCCCTGCCAATTCCAAAATACCTAATATCACAAAAGTATGACAGCCACTTATTTACAGGTTTTTTCAGCACTGTGAAAGGCACGTTTATCTTTTTACGCATGTTTCTGCTAATGTCCTAAACTTGGGTTCCAGCTGATCTAAGAAGTCAAGTGCCTCTTCTTCATGCTGATCACTGCAGCAGCCTACAGAGCCAGCCAAGGATCCTTTTCCTTCATAGTTATATGAAAGGAGATAATCTTCAGAATGCTTCTGTTCTTCATCCTGTCTGCATAGGTGCACCTTCTGCATAGGAAGAGAACACACCTTATTATTTTCTTAAATTGTTATCCTAAACGTATTGCATAAAAATAATTTCTTTTGATTTACCTTTCATTGATTAATTTTTAATCAGAGTGTGTCCTCTAATGGATTCCTACATACAAAAAATGCACATGATTGGTCTATATCATTAAGACTACAAAATATAAGTATTTAATAAAGAAATCATTTCTACTAATCATGTATGTAAAAATAAAAGAGGAAGAACCTGTTTAAATAACCTGCCAAGCAACTAAAATCCACTTGAAATTAAAAGACTGATTTACACATAACTAGTTAGGCAAGTAGTGAGATTTTTTGATTTCCAAAGCATGGAGTAACTACATTTCTAATGCTGTACATTCATTCCTGCACCATTGCCTAAGTATCAGGTTTAAATTAGTACAAAGCAAGCAGTTAGAATAAAAGCAAATAGACATTGTCAGAAAAACTCACCAAAGCTTGAGTAATTATTCTAAATGAGTAAATATTCTAAATGAAAAATAGCATACTGCCTATAGTTTAAGCCAAGAAAAGAAAGTCATTTACACTTATGTCTAAAATATGTAAAGGATGACTTTTTGAAAGGGCAATATTCCAAAGGGGAGGCAGGGAGGCAAAGGAGAGAAGGGAGAGAACCAAAACCAAAACCAGAAAGCCACCTTTCTAGCACAAATACATGTCTTCCTGGAAAACTCTGCATATATTGATCATAACCTACACTCCAAAAAAAAACAGTTTCAGAATACTTACTTCACCTAAACGAGGATGTGTGAAATTATGCCATTCTGAGTAGGAGTATCTACACGTATCCATCACAGCCTGTCCTCCTCCGTCTTTAACTGATCCCAGAGTCTGATGTCCGCCTCCCTTGACTGATTCCAAGGTATGCCCTCTTCCTTTTACCACTTCAAATGTTTGTTGATCTCCTGTTTTTACTCCATATCCTCCCTGATCACTTGTATTTTGTAGAGGAATTATATTGTGATCCTAAAAAAAGATGCAGCAGTGGGACTACCTTAACTTTTTTTTTTTTAAAATTCAGAAGATGAAACAGCAATCAGCAACTGTCAATACTAAAAACTGAAAAGTCTCCAGCTTTGCACTGTGATATTTTGAACAAAAAGCTACCCTTAGTATTTAGTGTATAAAGATCAATAAGGAGTCTTTGGAAAGGATACTGTGACAAGGGGTGGGGTGGGGTGGAAATCTGCATTTAAATATCATATGAGATCCAAAAACTGAATCTTTATCCCACTGAAAGCTGTACTACAATCCATAAGCTAGTTTCCTAAATTATCATGTAAAAATAATGTTTGGTTTTCAAAGTCAACAACCTATAATCCATTAAGCCAGATATACAGTCACATCCATTACGTTTCATTCTGTTTCTTCACACATTAAGCCTTTATACTGAGTGAAATATAGAAAAACTAGTATGGGATCACAAATTAGAAAACACATTATCAGTTTATAATGGCACTACATTATGCTTCATAGGCAACAAGAAATTTGACACTTGTCACCATTATGATTTCTTGGTTTTCAAGGTGAAGTAAACTCAATGGTTTTTAAAGTAATCTCCTTTTCTTGAGGAAGGCAAAGTAAGGGGGTGAGGGACAGATGAGAAGAGGAAAAGTCTGAAGAGCTAAGTCCTTGTCATTTATGTCGACTTCTGTAAAGCATTCAACACAGTCCCCCACAACATCCT